ACTCCTGAGTGGTGTGTGCCGGTATTACCCTTAAAGTAACCCCCTTCTTTAGTTACAATTTCCTAACATACTACACTACACTAACACTCACCTTAACCTATAAAGATCATGTGATAAAAAAATCCACAATAATTAAGTTTGTATTAATGCGGCATTGTCACCCCCTCCCTTTCTGAAAAATCTGTATTTCATAAAGATAGAATCTTTTTTAAAGACTCGTATTGACTGTATTATAATTTCACTCAGTCATGAGATATACTGAGACAAAGTATATCTCTGTATATTTCATACGCCTGACATTTCTAGACACTGGGCAGAGCTAACACCATCAAGAAATGTCAATCGCCCCAGCCGTCACCAGTGAAGGCTTCACGGAATTGTCTTTATCTATGGAACATCCCGCGGTCTTGTAGGCTCCTATATGGACCTCAATACCGTACTCTTCTGTATGCGCGAGAGTACAACAGTGACATTGGCTCCTGGCGCTGAAGCAGATCAACTGGAAGAAGATCGGCGGCGGTCGCGAGGGAAAGGTTCACATATGCAGAACTCACTTTGCTGTCCCCCTGGCCACCGGACCCCAAACGGAGATTACACCGTCATGGTCTTTGCAAATTCTGCAAAGTCCCCAGACAGTGACGGTTTCTAATTTATCAGTATGTGTCACATCATGCCATGTTCTGTGGAGATGTCTGGCTTTGGCTTCTGGTATCCAGTACTCTTTTTACATTTCTTGTTTAGTTTTTCTTGGTTTTTCTGGTTTTCTATTCTATGTCTGGTTTTCTTTATGCTGGGTTTTTCTGGGTTCATTCCTCTAATTTGTCCCTGGAAATCCCAGTCTCCAGGATTCATTTAAATGTTTGTTTTATGTTGCCACACCCGTTTTTTTTCCATCATTCCTTTTGTTTCAGTGTCCCTGCAGGCAGCTGCTCATGACTTTTGCCCTTTCTTGCAGGTAAGTATTATGTTTGTTTTCTTTGGTTGGTTTAGCTTGCATTAGGCAAAGTCGGACCTGCCAGATATGGGGTACATTGGCGTTGTGGCAGGCTTATGCAATGTATGATCATATAATGTATCTAAATCCCCATAGTTTTCATATATAGTACTTAGTTTTGTCTCCTCTTGTTTTGCCTATTATATCTGGTCTTGTTTTATTTTTATTCCCAGTCCATGTACAGTCCTGTCTTGCCCTGCCCATGTTATGTTTATGGTTCCCTTATGTATTGTGTACATGTTCTGGGTTTAGCTTCCTATCCTTCTCTGGTTCTGGGTTCTC